AACCAGATGATTTATGATAAAACTGGAAGAAAATGTGTGTGTATGCGTGTGTGTGTGTGTGTGTGTGTGTGTGTGTGTGTGTGTGTGTGTGTGTGTGTGTGTCCTATAATCTCCCCCTCCCAGTGTGTTTGAGCAGCTGAGTAAAATGGGAACCTGTAACAGTCATAAATCCTCCCAGTTTAGAGCTGACAGCTGCTGGGAGGCTTTTTCTGGTGCACCACCAGCCTCACATCCGTCCCAAACACAGTTAGTTGTGATTTAGTTTTGATGTTAAATAATTAAACCCAGATTCACCCCCACTGCAGACTGTTTAGTTGGGATTAGTCTAGAAAAAGTTTCTCAAATGCACAGTTTTGATGCTTTGAGCACCATACAATTTAATTTATATGTATTACATTTGAGCAAATCATGACTTTAATTAACCTCAAATAAATAGTCAGACATGCAAATGGTTTACATTAGTAAACAATTGCTTCCATTACTTTCATTTTGTTACACCAGATAGTTTTGAGTCTGTTTGTCTATTGTAATGTGTATATGATTTACTAGAGCTAAATGTACTGAATGGATTTCTATTACTGTGTGTGCAGGAGTACATCTGACACACAGACAGATGAAAGGAGCAGTCAGCTGTTACAGACTACAGCTAAGCTGACTCAGAGGAAACCAAGGACATCAGAGAAATGTCTTTACAGTTTAGCAAACTGAGCATTCATTTTCTTTGTAGAAGATCATGTGTTTATTTTATTTTCAAATATCACAGGCTGTTCTGGTCTTTATACTTTGTCTCCTGATAGATAAATTACTTACAGTCCTCTGACTGACTTCGTTCTGAATGCATTTCGACTACTCTGTTGTTTTTTAAACAAAAGGAAATAGTGCATTTGTTGAGGACTATTTTTTGCAACATCTGGTCACCCTGGTTGGTAGTGGTCTTTGTGTGAGATGCATCCTTTAACCTCGAGAATTAAAAATAAACATAACCCTTAAAAACGTAACTAAACATTTGAAGAGTCCCCACATGATCCCTCTAAAGATGCTTCCAGAAGAAAATTCCTGAAGCGTTTGTTTTAGGCTCAGCTGCCACCATCGACCTCTCTGTCTGGCATTTAACAAACTTCTGAAGACAACTGCTACTGGTCCCAAACAGACACACTGAACCAACATCTATAAAGAGACCAGGCTGCTGAGGTATTTTCATTTACCTCTCTTTTCTTCTCCCGGCAGCAGACAGGAATTAACTGCTGCAAGATGGCAGAGTAAGTCCTGATCTATACTTTATGAATCTACAAAACTCACAGAATCACAGGTAATCATATTTGTTCTTCTGTCTTACTGTTTCTCTGAAGGAAAAAAGTATCGACGAGTCGGAAGAATCAGATCAAGGTAAAGTCGGATCAAGCTTTTGTTTTTTGTTTTTCAAATGTTGTGAGGTAGTGTTTACAAATTGTAGGGATTGAACTGAAACACTATCACCATCATAAATACAATTTCAAATTAATCTACTGTAATTTGCAGTTTAATCAAATGTTTTTTATTAAGAAGGTTTCCTGTTAATTTTGGTACTAACTCTTTTCTCAAAAAATATGAACAATTGACTGGGATGGCCTCCTTGGAGTTTTCTGACCTCAACCAAACTCCACCACTTTCTATTTTTAAACTCCATGACCTTTTCTCTTGTGCCACTCTCAGGATAACTACTGACAATAGAGGAATCTAATCAGCAAACATTTTGATAATACATTCATAATTTAAGTCATGTGTAACACAAAGTTGGCAAACATGTACTTGTTCCAGCTTGCCCAATACAATTATTTGCTGCTTTTCTCTGTTTTGCATGATTTTAAAGTTAAAATGTATATTAGATTTTGGACATTTCAACACACTATTATTGATAGGTTTTCATATTTTCTGATATTTTACTAAACAATTACATTACATTACATGTTACTTGTTAGACGCTTTTATCCAAAGCGACTTACATACTGTGGGCAATCCCCACAGGAGCAATTTGGGGTGAAGTGTCTTGCCCAGGAAAACAACGACATGCTGACTGCAGTGGGGTTTGAACCTGTGATCCCCTGAGCCGAACACCAACGCACAACCTACTGCGCCACACGCCTCCCTAATTCATGAACTATTAATTGATAAAAAAAAGTGTTGAAGAAAAAATTATCCTCAGATTAATTAAGATAACTGGGCATTATTGATACTTCAAATATCAGTTTTTTCATTATCATATATTTGTATTATTTCTTCTTTGTTTGACCAATATGTGAATGAAGAAATGTAGAATAATTGTAACATCAATTTAACACAGTAACAACATTTAGATCAATAAAAAATGAGAAAGGTGGAAAAACATATATTCATGTTTTTTTTATTTTATTTTCCTGAAAAAAACTTAACACAAACTTAACTTTAGAAAGTGCACCAGAATAAATAAAGTATTATTGACAGTCTGAAACATTGTTAGGGGGGCTTAACCTATTGAAGTGTAATGAACATTTCAGCCTCTGTTACCAGCACTAGAGGCTTTAATCCAGTTAATATCCATTATGTGGCCAACACATGTGTATTGTGTATTAAGACAGTTAGAAAGCAGATTCTTATCTTATAATAAACACTGGATTGAGACTTCCGGTCCTCATGGTCATCCTCTCCTCCTCCTCTTCCTCTTAGAGCTTGATGCTCCAGATCAGCCAGACGATTCTGGAGGAGGAGGCGCGGGAGGCCAAGCGGGAGAAGATAAGACACATGGAGGAGAACTGTCCCTCCGTCTCCATCCCAGGAACCATGCCGGATCTCCAGGTAAAACTCAACATCACCTTTATGTTGGGTGGCGGCAGAAGAAACACAACAGACACAGGAGATGTTAGTCTTAGCAGCTTTAAATGGCCGGTTGATACTGCATAGCCAAATGGGTTGGCACTTTAGCATTCAACAACAATTCCCATGTCTTTTAGTGCCGTTAGGGAAACTAAAATACCATGGGAACTCCCACTGTTAAACTTTTTTTTAGGAACACACTCTACTATAATCCACTGGAGACATTTTTCACTTTTCCCAACACTTCTAATTTAAATATGTGAGAATCTCTATGGTCTCTCTTTACATTGTCCTTTTACTGTCCAGCTATTTTTGCCAGGTGAACATACATTTAGCAATTTGTCCAATATTCGCTATTAAGTATTACAGTGTAATATATATGTACCCAATCACATCTCTATACTACCTCATAGGTCTATATCATGCCTTTTTTTCCTCAACCCTATTTTCTCTCTTAATTGCTCTTTCTTTCTTTTCCTTTCTATTACAACAATCAGGAGCTCTGTCGGAAAATTCACAAGCAGATTGATTTGTTGGACGAGGAGCGATACGACATGGAGAACAAAGTGAATAAGTCTGACAAGGAGGTAGGTCGTTTTTTTAAATGTTATTTTTTATTTAAAGCTTAATTTCAAGAACCAATATTAGCTACACCATATTTTAAGTACCAGGGCTGATCATTTGAACCATATGTCAGGAGGCCACAATTGTTCACTCATCCCCAAATTCTTGATTTTTTAGATTTGTTCTTTCTTTCCACTCGGGTCATTCTCCATCAGTGCTGGGCAAGTTACTTCCAAAATGTAATATATTACATATTACTTATTACTCTCTTTTGAAAGTAATAAGTTACATTACAATATTACTGTCTCTGAAATGTAATGAGTTACACTACTTTAGTTACTTTTTAGTTACTTTCACCAAAATAACCGCAAAAGAATGGCTAGGTATTTTAAATGCTAAAATGTAGTTATTGTACATCCAGTGAAGGGCAATGTGGTATTGCATAACAACTGTAGGTCCTTAAGGCTACTAACAACTTTTATTACACGGCTTAGTTGAATACTCGATTCTGATTGTAAATTCTTAACATGTGACACGTTGTTAATACAGCAGTGTAGCCCACTGTCAAGGACTATAATGAAGATTTCTAAGGAGGATCAAGAAAGAGAAAGGAAAAGAGGTTAAAAGACGGAGCGCTGGACGTCAGATAAATCACCAGAAGAAGGCAGAGAGGAAGTAAACCATAACAGGACACGGAATGGGCTCTGTAGTTTGTTTAGTATATGGCCATGTACAGGCCCGGTTCCAGAACAAAATGACTCAGGGTGCAT